GGGGGGGGGGGGGGGGGGGGGGGGGGGGGGGTGGGCGGGGGCTCCTGGGGGGCCCGGCACCGCCTCTGGGCCGCGGGCTGGAGGAAATCGCCCGTCTTCCTGGAGAAGAGGGGAGTTCTCGAAGCACGGCTGATAGGCCGGCGGGGAGAGGAAGGGGTGGTAGGGGCTGGCGGCAACATCGCTCGGTCGGTACAAGAGGCCGGTGATGTGAGTAGCTTGCTGGTTATGGGCGTTACTGGTTACTGGTTGCTGGTTATGGGCGTTACTTGTTGTGACTGGGTGGGAGTTGATTGTGTGAGTGCGCGCGCGCGCGCGCTAACAGCCCGGGGGGAGGGGAGGGGAGGGGAGGGGGAGGTTCGGGGGGTCTGAGGTATATTCCGCAACCCCAATTGCTCTCACGTGTAAGGAACCAGAATGGCTAGATGGTTCTTTTCCCACGGGGATTAGTAATGGTGACTACCTTCTGATAGATTGTTCTTGAATTTAGTCCTGCAGTTTGTCGATGCTAGATTCTAGGTTTTGTGATTTGCTGTTGGTCCTGTGTATTTTGTCTTCCTTCAAAATATGGTGAATTAGTGCTGCTTGTTGTATGAGCGCCTCCTTGTTTTGGAATCTATCCAAAAGCCCTGCCTTAGTGATGCCGCTTTGCAGTGACAAACATCGGGTAGGATTCTGTACCGTGTCTTAGCGGGAGATAAGGAAGTCCAGGAACTATTGCTGTGGCTGGACTGCCAAACCCCTTAGCATCAAGACTTCCAGGAAACTTCAGATCAGCCTCTCCCGGTGCACTGGACTGCAACTCCCATAACTCCATGGTTGGGAACTATGGGAGTAGCAGTCCAGTTGCAATGGCAGTTATCAAATTGGGGAAAACCGCTTAAAACTTGGAAAGAGGAATCGCCCTCTGCACCCAGGTCTTCTACCGCTGCCCCAACTCTTTCGAAGGCACTTATTGGTCCTGGAGATTAGTCCAAGGTTTAGGAGAAGAGGGCCACAATCTGTGGCCTTTCCAAGTACACAGAGTTTTGGGTATTTCTTTCGAATCTCGTTATCCTCCGTGATTGCTTAGTAGTTTGGAGACCTGGTACTAGTTTCCCCCCTTGTGTTTGCAGTAGCGTTATCATCATTATCATCATCATCTGTATATGATACGGGAGTAAGTTGAAAAAATGATAGTTTTCTTGCAAGGGGATGGAGGTGCTTCTGGGTGCACTGACGGGAAACGCATACTCGTCTCTGGACGCTGCCGTGGATTCTTAAGCCTGCCTTAGCTTTGCACGTTCTGTCGTTCGGCAGGTAAAGACAGCAATTCCATTTTGCAATATGCTTATTTGGCTGACCTGCCTCCAGATCCCATGCGTTACTCTTTTGACAGTTAAATATCATTTCCAAATCGATGGCTTTCACATTCCTACATTTCTTTTCTCTTCCGGTGCGCTGCGTGAAAAGTAAACTCTTCGTGGGGATTAGGAACTAATGGTAAAATCAACGTAGCCAGTGAAGTGATGATTGGACAGAGGACATGTGGAAAGGCTCTTCCGTCTGTCACGGGCCTCCCTCAGCTTTTCCCGCTTAAATCCTGCTACAGAGGATGGACCCACGTGCTAAATGAGTAGAACGCTCAGTGGGCACGTGAACCGCCTCGCGGCCCACCTCGGTCCAGATGCTGCCTTCGGGTTTGGTTTTGTTTTTCGAAAAAGCTCTGGCTCTGGCTGTTGTCTGCCCGCCCACCCCAGCGCCCCAAAACGAACTTCACTGAGGATTTGATTAGGCATCCCATCTCCGTTGTTTGTAAATCGGCAGGAAACTTTGCCTTCAGTAAAAATGTGAGCTGGAAGAACGTGTGTAGTGGGGTTGTGCGCCTCGTCATGAATTTAAGGGAGGATGGGTGGGAACGGATAGGAATTCCAATGGGGGCAAAGGATGAGAGGGAGGGAGAGATTAAAACCCGAGAAAAGGAAACGGCGCGTTCCTAGTTCCTATTTCTCCTGAGGCCCTTAATTGTTGTTCGAAGGATTTCTACCAGCCCTTGTATGATTTGGGGTTCTTTTCAGTATCAAGGCAAAGGTGGAACACTGTGGTAGCCTCGTCTTTCTTTTCCACCTTTGGATTTTAGTTTTCTAGTAAACTTCTGAATCGCCAGTAAGACTTTGGAGTGTCCAGAAAGCGTGCGCGTGTGATTATGGGTCCCTATTTTGGAAAGTGGTCTTAAACTAGTTTTTCGCCTTAAGAGGCGCCGCTTGAGTTCTCCCCCAACAAAGGGGCACTTCTCCAACTCTCGAAATAATGACAGAAATGAAGGTTTTTCCCAGCAGAAGCCCAGCGGCCCTCGGCATATGCTGTCCTGGGTACCAGCGAACAGCCCCGGATCTTCGTCTTCCCCTCTGGCGGTGGCCTCGGCCAAGGACTGCCGCGCCGGCTGCCGCTTGGCTCGGGAGCAGAGAGGAGCCAGAGGGCTACGTGTGTTCTTGGCAGGCCAGACGCTGCCCCCTCACCGCCCTCTCTTTTTCCCTCCACGCTCATTCCTCCCCCCACCCCCCGCCCCCCC